AAAAAAAAAAATGGATTGGGGGAGAAATAAGCAAATAAATAAATTCAAAATTGGAGAGGAAAAAATGAATTATAAAGGGTCAATGGATACAAATATGGAGCAGTCAGAAGTGAAACACCATTGTGTAAGCACCCTTTGAGAAAAATGGTGGGAAAGGATAAGAATAGAATAATTAGGCACTTCGGGTGAGAGAAAGAAGTGAGGGAGAGGGAATTGTAGGAAGAGATGAAGGAGGAATATAAGAGAGAACAAAAGAGGGAGAGAAAAGAAAGAAAACAATCAAAACTAGGTAAAACAAAAGCCAGCTTCTTGAGGGCAAATATTTTCATTCATATTTGTAACGGCCTTCAGTCCTTTCAAAGCTAGCACTTAGAAATCTTCCAATAACATTTCATGAATAAATAAGTCAATAAAATAGCATGTGAAATTGGGTCAGAAAGGATGATAGAAGATATTGAAGAGCTCCGTACAGTGGGGGGATATATGGGAGAAAGTTTAACGAACTGAGAGTGCATTTACTGGCAAGACACACACAAGCAGGATATGTGGCTCCTGCACACTCTGAAAGTGCATCAGGTTGTAAATGCTCAGCTGTTTTTTCTTTCACCACCCCATCAGCAATGTCCATTCTACTGATGCTCAGACGACAATTCTGAAAGAATTCTCTCTCTCCCCACTCGATCCCCACCCAATACACGTATCACCTGCAATGCATTTAAGTGATGTCACAAATCGCTCTAAAAGTTTACTTTACTTTTCTACCTTGTTAGCCATTTTCATATACCTTTGCATACAAGTGTATTAGAAGGTCCTAGAGGCAGCAGACTTCAGTAAAAGCCATAAGCTAAGAACTGAACATTGTGTGAATTTCTAAACCTCTAAAGATAACTTTTGAGCAAAAGCTATTTAATAGTGGAATCACATTTGGTGATCAAAGCTGATATTTCTAATGAAAACTGTGTTTCCAAAAAACAAACTTTGTTGGCAGTATCATTTCTATCACTCAAGAACATTGATTTTTGAAAATATTAGGGTGCTGCCTGCTAAGAGGTAATACTTTATACTGTTGCATTTCTTTTCAGAACCAAACCTGTCTCTTCTTATGAACGAGCTCTCTTTTCAGATTGCAACTCAAGATGCAAATGTTCAGAGACAATATGGGAACCCATGTGTGGTGACAATGGAATCACATATGCATCCGCTTGTCTTGCTGGTTGTCAAACCTCCAACAGGAGTGGAAAAAATATAGTAAGAATCTCCTCCTCTAAAGTATATGCCCACGGGCCTGTTACAATACACAACTCCTCAACTCTGGGGGGCTTAGCAGAAGACCCCGCTGGTGGGAGCCCTGACTCTTACCCTTTTCTTGTCCTTTTGTGTGGAAATAGGAAGTTTATAACCGTTCCTAGAGGAACTAGAGTTGTTGAACGAGTTGGAGTTGTGAAACAGGGTGGAGCAACTTTTGTAATTACGTAGTCTGTTTCTCTCATTCGGCTTACAAAGAGTATTAGCCCTGAATGAGAAACTCCAGGCATAAGATCATACACCAAAATCTGCTTTCGTGATCTTTTTATTGAGGGACATATATTATTTTGGCCTTTATACCAAAATAATTATTTTTCTTTTTGAAATGTTATACAATAAACCATTTTTAAAATATCAGATATCATAGCTAAAAGAAAAAAAAAGATCTGCCCTGGGATCTGTCTTCTGACCCCAAGACCAGTAGTTTTTGGAGGTTTTAGGGGCAGGATGCATAGAGGTTGGAGGTCTAGATCCAGAGATCTAGACCCAGGGGTCAGGGATCTGATTATGAGGAAGGTGATGGTTCTAGAACAGCCCTGCTTGGGAAATCAAGCCAATTTATGTGATAACTAAGAGTAGGTGGGCTGGAATAAAAGGTTTCTGTAGGATGGAAGAGGGAGATATGTTTGGAGATACAGGTAGGAAGCTGTCTTAGTCAGTTTGGGCTCCTATAACAAATATACCAGAGACTGATGGCTTAAATAACAAGCATTTACTACTCACAGTTCTGGAGTCTGGGAAGTCTGAGATCAAGGTGCCAGCAGACCTGGTGCCTAGTGAGGCCCACTTCTGGGTTTGCGTATGGCCGCTTCTCCTTCTGTCCTCACACAGCAGCAAACAGAGAGGAAGGGCAAGCTCTGGTGTTGATTTCTTTAGGGCACTAATCCCATTCGTAAGGGCTACACCCTCATGACCTGATTATGTCCCAAAGGCCCCACCTCCAAATACCATCACACTGGGGGTTAGGATTTCAGCATATGAATTTGGGACAAACATTCAGTCCACAACAGAGATGAATTGTGAAGGATATGATGTACGAGGGTACTTCAAAAAGTTCGTGGAAATATTTGTGTTATCTTTCAATTCTACTTTTCCACAAACTTTTTGAAGTAACTTGTACTTCACTCATTAATAGACTCACCTTCTAATCACATCTTTACATTCCTGTCTCAAATGTAGACTCTTCCTTACACACGCTATGTCAGGCTGCTTTCTGTTAGTGACTGATGGAATCTGCCTTTATTTGACAGTCCTACAGGGCTGAAAATTAGACCAAACATATATATGTATACATGCTTATCAAATAGATATAAATTCTTAGGCAAACAAATCTGCAGATATAGAGCAATATTTGTTGATTTTCTTTCTGGTTATTGTACTTTTATTTAGACATTTTATTCAGAGCAGAAGGGATTGGTCTCTAGCAACAGCAGAATGAGATTACCCAGGCATCTGAAATCTGAGTTTGCACTCTCTCTTTCCTTCCTTTCTCTCTTCCTGCCCCCCTTTCATCTACTACTCTTTTGTCCACAACTGCATCAAGGTTTTTATTAACTAGAGCTACCATTTATTGAAGATGTTAAAAGCCAGGGACTAAGACAGTTGCTTTAAAAACAAAATTGCATTTAAATCTCATGGTCCTCAAGTAATTGGGTATTTTACGTATTTTTCTCAAGTGAGAACTGAGGCACTGAGATGCAAGAGACTTGCCTAACTCATATATCTAGTGAGCTTCAAGCGTCAAGATTAAAAAGCTTTCAACCTGACATTTTAAAAAAATAATCTATGTTGCTACTCCTCCTAGAAAAGGAAATGCCAGCTTTATTTCATTCTTTATCTAAAAACTCACAAACTCGGGGCCGGCCCGGTGGCGCACTGGATAGTGCGCCGCTTGGGAAGCACAGCGGCGCTCTCGTCCGAGGGTTCGGATCCCACATACAGACCGGTTCCCGCTCACTGGCTGA